CCAAATAGACCAAGTTAAGATCCTCCATCCAAGCGCTTAATTTGTATTAAATTTGTAAGCGCTGCATGTAAAATGCTCGATTCTGATTGGCTGAAAAAAATCCCAACTTAGAACCGAGTTAGTTAACATCCTCCCCCCAAACGGCTTTGGGGGGGGGGGATATGGGGGGGTGGGGGGTGTGGATGTTAACTTGGTCCAAATTTTCGGCTTTTTTTTTCAAGTTTTTGGTTTTTTTGAAGCTGTTAAAACCTATATTTTTCTAGAACCTTCGACAAAAAATTTCTGGCATGTTAAGTTTTATGATGAAAGAGTAAGCAAAGTAAAACTAAAAAACTAAAAGAGTTATTTGCAATTCGTTTTTATTATTTCTCGCGTAGGTGGTCAAACTGATTACGCCTTATCTGTCTGGGAAAAATGCTTGAAAATTATTTTTTGCCTTATTTCAATGAGTTAATCAGGTTATTGGACAAGTTACGCAAAGTTTCTCAGAAAAGTTCATTGTAAATTATAAAAAAATCCTGAATGACTTTTCCCGCAAATCATCGTGTCCTTCAATACGTATTTTCTATTCAGCAAATATTAAAAAAAGCTAGGAAAGAATCTCGACTAGTCTGAATAACTGAGCTAGTCAAGTAATCTTTTCAAATTGCTCATTGTTTTGCGGTCATCCCGCTCAAAATTGAGTAAGTTTCTATCAGTAAATTTTGAAACAAATTTGAAGTTCGGTCAATTAGGGATAATTAACGGGCGATGTATTGCGTTCTTATGATGCGCATCAGCGGTAAATTAAACTGTTCGAAATTAAAAATGGGTAAATCAGTGGGTGTTATTATAATATAAAACGCTTAAGAAATTCTTCTCTAGTTTATAAAGTGTGTGTGTGTGTGTGTGTGGATCAATTGAAATTGTAATTGTTGTTTTTGCCTGTTTTATGAGTTTTACAGACAAACTTTTAAATTGATTTTAAAGTAAGACAAGACTGCGCGTATCAGGGCGAAGCCCTGAATGTTCCGACTGCCTTTTAAGGTTTATGGAGCAGTAATAACATTTAAAAATTCAATGAAATAAAACAAAATCAAAAAAAAAAAATTTCTAAAATTTGAAATTTTTTATGAAAATCATCCCCCCACACGCCATACAAAAAACAAAAGGATAAATTTCGCTCCTTGTAACAAACCAATTATGGCACATAAGCTTCTTTTAACCAATTTGGAACGATTTCTAAGACGGATTAACTCTCCGCTTACGCGTTAATAGCGCGAAATATATCGCGCGTTAATTGTCCCAAATTGGCCAAAATGGCAACCTTTAAACCCCCGTAACTTTACGAAAAATGATCACAGGTGAAATATCTTTTCAAATTTGAGCTCAGGACAACAATACCTTTCGAATGATGTTAAAAAATTCTGTCAAAAATGGCTAGTTAAAAAGTCGATTTGTCTGAAGAAAAAAAAACCCACCCCAAGCACAAATATTCCGTTACTTTCGAAAGTCGGAACAACAAGACTGCTCGTATCAGGGCGAAGCCCTGATGTTCTGACTGCCTTTTAAGGTTTATGGAGCAGTAATAACATTAAAAAATTCAATGAAATAAAACAAAATGAAAATTTTTTTTCTTCTAAAATTTGAAATTTTTAAGAAAATCATTTCCCCACACGCCATATAAAGTACAAAAGGATAGATTTCGCTCCTTGTAACAAATAATTTATGGCAAATAAGCTTCTTTTAACCAATTTGGAACAATTTCTAAGACGGATTATCTCTCCGCTTACGCGTTAATAGCGCGAAATATATCGCGCGTTAATTGTCCCAAGTTGGCCAAAATGGCAATCTTTAAACCCCCGTAACTTTACGAAAAATGATCACAGGTGAAATATATTTTCAAATTTAAGCTCAGGACAACAATACTTTTCGAATGATATAAAAAAATTCCGTCAAAAATGGCTAGTTAAAAAGTCGAAATTTGTCTGAAGAAAAAAAAACCCACACCGAGCACAAATATTCCGTTACTTTCGTATCGAAAGTCGGAACAATTAGAACAACCACGGCTTTGCTCTTATATGTCAGCAACATTTTTAGCGTCTAACCCCGTATTAATGATTCCAATGACCCAAATTAATTCGAGCAACATCTGAGCCGGTTTAAATTGCCGCTTACCCAATAATAGTTCTCCTTGATATTCAAAATTTCCAGCAATATTTTTAGACAACTTTTGTCTTCTTCATTTCTTGTTTAAATTTATCCTTTTTTCGACATAACTTTTTTAATTTTCAAGTTTTCCGGATAATTTGAATGTACTCAGAGTTTTTTTCTGACGAGAAACATTTATTTTCTAATAAATTTTTCTGGACAGTAATTCTGTACAAAATGCTAAAATCGATTGAAAATGATTTTCTGCTATATAAATTCAAGGAAACTTGCATTCATGATTATATGATTTTCTGCAACATGATATCTGAAAAATTTGAATGCATGTGTGTACTATGTCCTGAAAGTTGAAAAAAAAAATTATTTGCCAAATTTTATGCTTCATCTTACTTCGCAAAAACAGAGTAGCTCATCATAATCCTTAACTTCAATTAAAAAGATGAAAATTTTTAAAATGCTGCAAATTTTTGCTCAAGCAGCAGTTTTGCAGAAATCGGAACAAGTTGAAGAACACACCAACAATTAGCGTCCATGTGTATAACGGATTGTGTGTTATCATTGGTAGTCATTTGTATATATGTTAAAGCGAAATATTACTGCGTGAACGGAAATTTAAACCGTCAACATATATATTTTGAAAATTTTGTAGCCCACCTTATTTTAAATGCAATTGGGCAAAATGTTCCGACTCTCGAAAAAGTGATAAAATTTTTCTGCTAGGGGTGATTTTGTATTAAGTCAATTTTTTTTCGAAGTATGCGCTTTTCAAAATAAGCGCTTCTGATGTTTATGTTTTTTCAATCTGAATCATAATTTTGTCAGGAGCTCAAATTAAAAAAAAAACCTTTTATCATATTTTTCAAAATTAAAGGGGCTCGAAATTGGCTGAATTGAAAATTTGGGGTAATTAACGCGCGAGATTTTGCAATTTTCTTGCGATAAGGTGCTAAACCTTATTTATTTTTGTATTTTACATAGAGTTTGTTTGTAGGTTAATTTAAAAAATGAAAAAAATTGTTTTCGTACTTTTTCGATTGTTAATAATTTTGCTATCGGCTTCAAAGTAAAATTGGAACCTTTTTTATACAAGTTGTTTTCTTAGCATCTATCTACGTGTTAATGGCTAGACACTAAATATGGAACATCATTGAACAAAAAACCTCAACCGGAATAAAATCGCCGCTGACGTGTTCATAGATCGAAGCGTATCGCGCGTTAATTGTCACAATTTATCTTCAATGATTATATTAAACTATAACAAGACTGCTCGTATATCAGGGCAAAGCCTTGAATGTTTCTACTGTCCCTTAATTTATATCAAATCGTTTTTGGAAAAGAAATTATTGAAAACTATACATTTTGGGACAATATCAAAGTGTTAAATTTTGAGTTGTACGAAATTAGTAGTACCAATTAGCTAGCCTCAATTCCATTCGGAATAATTTTGTTGTGCGGGATAATTCACCACGCATAAATAATTCGCGTTACGCTCTCAGCATTATGAATAAATTTTTCAAAGCGCGCATAATTTGGTCCAGAACATGGCCAAATTGGCAACTTTCAAAACACCAGAATTTTACAAAAATTAATCGGAAGTGAAATATCTTTTTACATTTGAAATCAGAAAATCGTTATCTTCAATAGGGTAGAAAAAAAGTTGTGTTGAAAACTATTATTTTGATCGGTGAAAATTGACTGCATAAAAAACCACACCGAGCGAAATATGATGTTGTTTATTTTTGAGCTGAGGTTTTCATGATTGTTTTTTCATAAATCAAAGTTTGTCTCAAGAAAAAACACACCGAGCACATTTATTCCACCCTGATTTCGAAAATCGGAACAACACTAAAACTCCTACTATGTCTAAATGTTTCAGAGGAAGTTTTTGCTTTAGAAAATTTGAGAAGGTTTCAAAAAAATCAATTTGTTTCTCTTAAATTTTCTCACGCATTTTTAAGAGTTCAAGGATGTTCAACACAAAACTTAGATCAGTTAGCTGGCGTTAATTCACTTTGGAATGAGAACTAAGCGGAAACAATTTGCGCCATATGCTACGTTGAAAATGTTCGAAAGTATCGCAAATTAAAAATCTCAATTTGGCCACATCACCAAAACAAACGCCTCAACAATTTACCTCCGCACAAAAATTATCGCAATCAATTTGTTTTGGATGATTGGAAACCTTAGTCAAAAGGTCTGCAAAATGTCAAATTTTCTCTGAAAAAAACTTATCGAGCAGAAATAGTTCGTTTCTTTTCAAATCGGGGAATAGCGAGTAGTGTTTATTCTGGCGAAGGTCAGAAGGTCTACTAAACAGTCAAAATTTCTTAGAAAAAAGTTATCAAGCTAAAATTTTCAGTTCATTTCTTTTTATTGTGCATTCAATACAAAGAAATTGGCCATCTTGGTCAAGAAAAACCCATCTGGGATATTTTTTCTTAATAAAACAATGTAAAAATGCTCGATTCGAGTAAAATTGAGTTTTCTTTTCGTTTATTAAACACGCTTCGGCTTTCATTGTGACTCAACTCACGAGCTTCATAACACAATCAGCCAAAAATTTGTTTGAGTGGGTTCAAACTAAAACCAAAAAATTTGGCCACAGAACATCAAAATCCTTTTTTATGACTCATATCAAGAATCCAACATTACCTACTAGTTTTTTGGCTTCAATTTGATTGGTTGTGAAACAACTATTTTCTCTACGAAATTGGAAGTAGCTGAACTGTTCTAAAAGAGACAAAGACTTCGACGCTCATTCAGTTCTCTTTTTTCCATTAGCTGGTATTTTCAAAGATAACAAATAAGTTCATTCTAATCTGAGTTAGATTAGATGTGTTAGAATGATGTGACTGTAGCATTCAATCTAATTTCCCATCAGTCATCGACTTCATCGATTTGTTACCTACGCCTGTTTTTGTTGATCATATAAAAATCCAATCATTTTTGGTCCGAAATTCATTAACCGAGAACTTTTTCTTGTTCAGCCAATTTCGCGACAATCTTCAGGCGTAAAAATGCCGGTAGATGGAGAAAGGTTTGTGTGGGTACGTGTGAACTACCTCTGTATCAGTGCAATCGACACTAAATCCCAAAAGTTCTCCGCTGAAGTTCTCATCGAGGCCAGGTGAGTCCATAAGTTCCCAGAACCGTTTTTATAATAGAAGATGACTTGGTGTCATGTTGTAAGAAAGTTCGAACCTCGAACATGATTAAGATTTTATTCAGCTTAACTATATTTGATAAGTTAACTATAAAATAAATGTTAAAATTAGGTGAAAAAGCAGGGGCGGTTCTAGGATTTTATCTGGGGCCAGATTTCCAAAAAAAATCTGAACTCCAAAGCTCTCCCAAACGACTATGAAGACCAAACTTTGCCTAAAAACACGTCAATAACGACCTTTTCGGCATTTCTTGAAAATTTTACAAAAAAAAACTTTTTTTGCCGCGCTCCTAAAATTGCTTTAAACATACGTGTATATTTGCACCAAAGGCGCGTTCAGAAAAATTGGCACCAAAGTTGTATTATTGGGTCGAATATAGATGTCGTAAAGTAGTAATAAAGAGTGAACCTTCTCATTGATCATTAGCTGGTTTTTGGAGTTTGCCAAATACCGTCCCTAAATCTGCTACTGCGCAAGTGTGTCACCGACCGAACATCAACGTCATGGATTTTTTGTACAAATCTGACAGAACTTGTTAAAATTGACTTATTTTTTAAAATATTTGAACGAAAAATCAAATTCAACTTCAGATGGATGCAACGGGACGGGGAGGGGGAGGGAGACTGTGAACAAGATGACAAAGAAAGAGACAAGGGGCAAGAAGAGGGGAAGGGGGGACACTTTGACCCCAAACTGGTCATCTCCAACCTGGACTATCTGCGGAAGGAGAAATGCTGGCACAGGATAGAGAGCACAGAGAAGTGCCGCAGATGGGTGTTCCTCTGCTGGAGACTCACGGGTATGTGTGGAACAAAACGAGATTACAAAACTCGAACATAAATATCTGAGCGCTGTTGATAGATTTATTCATTTAAATTCATTTTAATCATTAATTGAACCACGTCTCTGCTCGACTAAGCTCGATTCAACTCAATGTACGTTACGTAATTCATCAAAGGGTATAGAAAACGAAAATGTAATCGTTTCTAATTTACACGATGTACTTGAGTCTTTCTTGCTTCGAACTTTTTTGATTATAAATTAGTTGGTTGCACGTGTTTGGTAATTCAGTTTTGTATTTTTTTTTGAGTTTTGGTTTTCAATTTCTTTCCCGGAGTTTTTCTGATTGCATGTGAAAAGTTGAAGTCATCTAAGATGGTTGTCAATTGTCAAATTGGCATATAACACTCGGCCTCATTTTGCAGTTGCAAAATAAATTAAGAAAAAAGGGGTGGGGTAGTTCCTACTTATAAAACTTAAAACGCTGGCTTAACGGTCGTTTAAGTGTCAGTTGAAGTTATCGGCTATGGTTGTCGGCGCAAGGCTGCTTTGGGGTGAGGCTCTCATTGTCGTGAATCTTCGTTTGCTGATTGATTGCAATAATTCGGACTAACAGGTGCTAGTCTAATGGCTGGTAATGACGCAATTTTAACTCTTATTTTGACGAATTAAACGTGGATCTGATCATCATCGGTTGGTTTGTTTTCTGTGATCCGTCCAGTTGGCCAGACTCCTCGCGGCGTCATATCCTGAAGAATCCAGACAAATTCTCCTATTTTGATAGGCGGCGTCTTCTTTGTCCATCGTTGTCTTGGCAGTAGTGTTGGGATAAACTCCTTCATCAAGCGTTTCCAAATATGGGTTGCGAGTTGTTGGGCGAATTTCCATTGTCGATTGAGTGTTGAGGGCTGTTGTGTTTGTAGAGGTGTCATGCTGGCATGCGCTCTCCCGAGAAGAAAATGATTTGGGGTGAGGGCTTCAACATCATCGGGCGATGCTGAAACTGTAGTGATGGGTCTTGCGTTCATGAAGTGTTCAACTTCGCAAAGAACGGTGTTGAATATGTCGTCTGTTAGAATCTGGCCTCCTATGATGGCATAGAACGAGTCTTTGACTGCTCTTATGAGTCGTTCCCATACACTTCCGAAATGAGGAGCATAGGCAGGGTTGAAGGTCCATTCAATCTGATGGTTGGCGTAGAATTGTCGTGTAACATCGGCGTCGAAGTGTCCGTTGAGTTCTTTTTCGGCTGCGGTGAAATTTGTACCATTATCAGAAACAATTTTGGCTGGTTGTCCTCTGCGAGCAAAGAATCGTCGTAAGGTATTGATGAAGGCGTCGGCTGATTGGTCCTGGCACATCTCAAGATGTACGGCTCGTGTTGTTAGGCAAGTCATTATAACGCCGTAGCGTTTGTTGTAGTTTCCTGCGGTTTTCGAAGCAAACGGTCCAAAGATATCTAATCCTGTTTGTTGAAACGGGAAGGGTTTATCTTCTTGAAATCTGAAGGCGGGTAGGGGCGCAAGTTCCGACTGTACTCCAGTTGCCTGTTGTCGTCGGCAGTCGTAACAGTTTTTTATGATCTTGTCAATGTGTGCGCGAACACAGAGAATCCAATACTCGTTTTGAAGAATATTTTTCAAGTGCTGGCGTGGCGAATTCTGGTTGTCTTTGTGGGTTTGTCCTATAAAATGGTGAACTGCTGGGTGGTTTCCATCAAGGATAATCGGGTGTTTTATGCAATAGTCCAATTGAGATTTCTCGAGGCGTCCACATGCTCGCAAGAGTCGGTCTTCGTCTAGAAATGGTGATAGGTGTCGAAGTCTGCTAGTTGTGTTGATTCGTTTATTTTGTGTCAATGCGTTGACCTCTGGTTTAAAGCAGTCTCGTTGCGTCTGCTTGAAGATAAAACTCTTTGCGGCAATCATGTTTTTGCTTGTCAGTTCGTTGGTCGGGCTTTCGTTGAGGGACTGTAGTCCTTTATCTTTAAAAATCCTGGCGGCACGCATCACGTATGCAGTTGTTCTGAGAATTCTTGTCCATTTGGAGAATCTGCTGTAATCGATGAAGCTTTGTTCTGTCTTTTCGGTGGAAGCTTGAAAAGCTAGCATTGGGGTTGTTGCTATTTCATCCATTTGTCCAGTTTGATCGTTGAGTTGCAAGGTATCCGTATTGGCGTTGATTAACTGTAGCTTTGGCCAGTTGCATTCTGGTTCACATATGAATTTTGGTCCGGTGAACCATCTTGACTTGTTACTGAAATCTGATAGGGGTATTCCACGGGTTCCGTCGTCTGCTGGGTTTAGGGGTCCTAGGCAATGATTCCCTTGACTCGCTTGGGTGCTTTCTAAAATTTCTGCAACTCTGTGCCACAAAATTTTTTTGCCGTTTATCAGATGCCTGTATACATTGAAGCGCTGTTGTGCTGTCTGTCCACATATGCGTAGAGTTGATGTCTTGATGTCAATCCTTTGTTCTCTGCGAAAGAACTTTGCGAGGCGAGCACCAAAAACTGCGGCTTGTAGTTCCAATTCAGTTATTGTGTGTTGTTTTAGAGGAGCCACTCGAGCTTTTCCTAGAACAAAGGCGCTGCAGATTTGCCGAGTGGCACTGTTGCTGTATACAAAATAAGCGACTGCTGCTAGGGCGCTGTAGGAGGCATCTGAAAAAACATGAAGAGCGATGTTGTCGTAGCTGTATCCAAAATAGTGTCGGGGTATTTCCACTGTCTGTAGATCGTTTCTCTCGTCGAGAAGCTCAAACAGTTCAGGTATCATTTCTCGTGTAATTTGGTCGTCCCACTTCATTCCTTTTCTCCAAATTGCTTGCTGAATTATTCGTAGTCGAATCGTAATAGGTGCTGCTATTCCAATTGGGTCAAAGATTGAGGAAGCTGCGCGAAGTAGGTTCCGTTGTGTAGGTTTCTTCTGGGCGAGTTCGTGTAGTTTGTCAGTAGTGAAGCTGAGTGTATCGTCATTTACTCTCCATCCTATTCCGAGAACTCGCTTGAAGAATTTGGGGTCCTTGATTTCGTCTATTGTGATGGATCTATGTTCCTCTGGTATTATTTGCAGAATTTTATGATCCGTAGTGATCCGCTTCGTCAGGTTGAAGCTTCCTTGTTGTAGTACGTGTCGAAGGTCTTCTATGATTTTCACTGCGGTGTCGATGTCGTCGGTGGCTTCGAAGAAGTCGTCCATGTAGAAGTTCTCGTAGACAAGTTGTTTGATGTGGGGATGGCTTTCAATATTGTCGTCTGCGCAAGTTCTTAATGCGTAAATTGCACAAGTAGGAGAACATTTGGCTCCAAAGACGAATCGAGTGTACTAAAAAAATTCGGGTTCTTCCGCTCCCCAGAGGAAAAAAAGAAATTTTTTGTCTTCAGGGTTAACAGAAACCTGCATATACATCCCTTCAATGTCGGCAGTGATGGGATGCTTTCCTTCGCGAAATCGGGTAATTACTCCAAGTAGATTGCAGAGCAAGTCAGGTCCAGTGAGAAGCATATCATTCAGACAAACTCCTTTAAATTTGGATTTGGCATTGGAAACACGGCGAAGTTTTCCTGGCTTGTTTGGGTTGATTACGCCATGTTCAGGTAAAATCCATCCTGTCGAAGGTATTTCGTCTGGCTCTAATTTCCGTATGTATTGCTTGCTGAGATCCTGGTCAATTGTATTCTGGTAGAGAGCCAATTTTTCTGAATTCTTGTTAAGTTGTATTTTCGTCCGGTTGTATTGGGCAATTGCTGCTTTATAGTTGTTGGGAAGATTTGCATTTGGTTTCCACAGAAGTCAAAGTTGATAGCGGTTGTCGTATAATGATATGGTTTTCCGAAGTGTTTGCATAGCGTGTCTTTCGTCCGATGACATCGTTATTTCAGGTGATGTGGCATAGGTTTCCATTCGCCAGAATGAGGCGAGAAGATCCGAGATTTGTGTGTCGTCAGTTGATATCTATCTGTATTGGGGTGGCTGTTGCTTGGTGGCTTGAAAAGTATCCAATGTCGTTGTTCGGTCCTGCTATTGTCCATCCTAGGGCTGTAAGGACTGCTCGAGGAACATTTTGATTTCCTTTGATGATGGTCTTCGGGCTGATGTTGTCAATATTGTCCGTTCCAATCACTAGGGCTACGTCGTTGTTGCTGAAGTCCGGAAAACATATATCCTTAAGGTGGTCGTATTGGCTGCAGATTTCGTTCAACTTTTCGGGCTCGGCTGCATTCAAGTTGATGTTCTCTTTAAACATTAGTAAGTTCAAACGCTAAAGTGTTATTTCCAAATTAATGAACTGTAATATCCATTGTCTTAGCCTCTATCGTTTGCGAGTTGAAGAAACCTCCAATGAGCAGTTGTTCCTGATGGTTTGTTTCCTCCAGTTGAAGATATGCTGCTGTCGGTTGCGATATGTAGCTATTTGTACTTCCTGTATCAAGAAAAGCGTATACATTAAGGTATATGTTGCGGTGTCGTAATGTTACTGGTAAAAGTAGCAGCAGTGAGCTGTTGATTCTTGATATCTTCTTTTGGCTGGCAAGATGGTTGACTTGATTCGGTCGCTGGTTTGGATTAAACTTTGCTGTTCTTTGTGTTCGTTGTTCGTCATGTAGAGTTGTGTGATGATGCTGATTGCATTTGCTGCATGTGTGCTTTGATGGGCAGTCTTTTACTTGATGTTGGCCAAGGCAGTTGAAACAAAGTTTCTTTTCAGAAACGAGTCTCTTCTTCTCTTCCAAAGGTGAATTCTGATACATGCTGCAGTATGCTGGGTGGTGGGTTTGTCCGTCGAAGGGACATGGGGGTCGGGTATTCGCACTCCAATTTTGAGAAGTCTTCTGTGAAGGCTGGTTGGTTGATGGTCGAGATCCGATGGCGTGTCGAAGTCTTGGGGCTATTTGTTGTCGATCGTTCAAGTCCAGGGTCATTTGCTGCGGTTGCATAGGTGGTAAGTTATCGCATGCTAATGCAAACTGTCTGATCCAGTCGTTGAAGGCGATAAGATTAGGCTGGTCGATGTTCTGGTCACCATGTTACTGATGAATGTGGAAAATTCCATGTACGAATCCGTGCGATGAGTTGATGGTTGCTTGAAGCTCTGTAGTCTGTTGACGAAGTCATTGATGATAATGTCGGGTCGTCCATATCGTCGTCGTAGTTCGTGGAGGGCAGCGTTGTACATAGTGCTATTGCAGGAGTAGCCACAAATAGCTTTTCCAATCGTTAAAGTCTGCAGATGAGTCATCTTTTCGGCGTCCGAGATTGCTTCAAAGAGTCCAAACCACATGCTCCACTTCATAGGGTTTCCGTCGAAAGGCTCGATTTTTACTTTTGGGGTCCTAGTCATAAGACTGTAGTTTGCTCGTGACTGTCCGTTACTTGATGTCTGAGATACTGCTGCTGGAATGAACTGCTGTTCTGTAACTATGTTGAAGCTGAGGTTTGCGTTGGTGGTGTCGTGTTCTGTTCGATGAAACGGTGGTCTGTCTATTCGAAACCTGTCTGGGGGGTTTGCTGCGGAGTATCTCGGCTATCTGAAAAGTTTTGGTCCTCTACTGTTTGCTAATGATGATCCGGGCTGATGGCTGCTGTTGGATAATGTTGACGTCTGGCTAGAGTCCCGATCTAGTTTTGTCTGTTGTTGCACTGAATCAGCTGTGTGGGGGGCTTGAACTGTGGTGGCATTAGTTTTCTTCTGTTGTGGAGTTGTCTCTGCTGTATTTTCTTGTAGCATCAGTCTAAATTCATCCATGATGTCGTCGTGTTCGTCTTGTATATCAGTGAAGCGGTTGATGAGATCCTCAGCAGTGGGGTGCTCATTCGGGTGGTCTACAAGGTACGTAGTGGCGTCTTCCAAATTGCTGAGAATTTTCTTCATCTCGGTTTCTGAGTCAGTTATGATGTAGTTTGTATTGATGTCACTGATGGCTTTTCGTACTCTTCTGAAGAGGCGCTCTAGTTGTGCGATGAGAAGGTTTCTCTGGGGGAGAATGGTTTTGTTGGGCATGGCTAGTTTGTCGTAGTTGATCGTTGCAGTTGTTGTAGATGTCGTATCCAGTCGTAGTTTTGACCTACTTTGTTAGTTCCTGTCCTAGGTAGCTAGACCTAAACTTAAAAAGGAACGAAGCAAAAGAACAATGGTGCGTTAAATATATTTTCAAATAAGTATAACGAAATAAAATAAGCAATTGAAAAATACAATAGCTTGATAGTAAATCGTTCTGATACCTGAACAGGCGGAAAGTAATATAAACCAAACGTAAAGTTAACGTCCCTATACCAAAGTTCAGCTATGGGGGTCCAAATTGTTAAACCGATTTTTTTAAATCTTAAGCAACTGCAAAACGAGTAATCCTTGGTTGGCACTAAAGACAAACTGTGCTTCCAGCCTGGTCAGGGGGTAGAGCAAGGGTGTGGTTTCTGGCAATTTAGCTGAGTGCCATATAGAAAACGAAAATGTAATCGTTTCTAATTTACACGATGTACTTGAGTCTTTCTTGCTTTGAACTTTGATTTGATTATAAATTAGTTGGTTGCACGTGTTTGGTAATTCAGTTTTGTATTTTTTTTGAGTTTTGGTTTTCAATTTCTTTCCCGGAGTTTTCCTGATTGCATGTGAAAAGTTGAAGTCATCTAAGATGGTTGTCAATTGTCAAATTCGCATATAACAAAGGGCAATCAGACTGGGTGCTTGTCAGTACAATTCAACCTCTCTTTAAATCTATTTTTACATAAACTTTGTTCCAGAGTAGCATTATTTTCAGCAGATTATAAAAAAGCTTGAATAATTTGAATTGTCAAACAAACTGGGAATGACTATTTGCTTCAAGGGAAAATTTTTTTGATAAAGGTCATGATCTGCTCTTATAAAAATATTCTTCTTCCTGCAGATTTGCTTCCAATAAACTTACGCCCCAGAAATGTAGTCTATAGGGTAAGTTTCCGCCCAAAAAGTTTGACTGTCGGTGGATACATTTTAGTGAATTTACTTAAAGCACCAGAACGGAAAAAAAATTGATGATTTCAACTCATGCGTCTACTTTATTATAATTTTTTTTTCAAATTAACGTAATACTTGATTCTTCAATCTTTTGGAAGCCTGTCTGGGTTGCATTCATTTCATATTATGATTTGTAAATATATAATTTACAAATCATCATATGAAATTAGTGCAACCCAGATAGGCTTCTAAAAGATTGAAGAATCAAGTATTACTTAAATTTTAAAGAATATATATTAAAAATGCATTTGAGCATTTTTGAAAAAAAAAGAAAAATTTCAGGAGACTTCTACGAGAACCTTGAGCTCGAAAACTTTCCGCGGGATGTGCAAGACTTGAGCATCTGGGTGTCAAGCGAGCTACACGCAGATGAGATCGAACTTCTCGTTGAGGACCGAAAATTGCCGACCATTGACGTGAACAATTTCCGAGCGAACCAAGAATGGAACCTGTTCCATCACGTCGAGAGCGAAAAACTACCCGAGACGCCGAACAGCGACGTCGAACTCGGCAGCACCGCAGGATTCATAGTCGCAAAATGCCGAGTGGCGAGACGATCCGAGTACTTTTTTCTTAACAATGTCCTCGTAATGTTCTGCTTAGTCGTGCTTTCGTTCACGATTTACGCATTCGCGCCGACGTCTAATATGCCTCGAATTGGCTCGAGTATAAACTTGCTGCTTGTCGCAGTGGCGTTTAAGCTCTCTGTGAGTGCAAACCTTCCCCTGATATCCTACCTGACATACTTAGACATGTACATGCTTGGAGTTATTTTGTACTTATGTCTTAATATTTTATTGTTCGCATCACTGTCAATAATCAAAGATAGAGCTTATGCCAAGGATGTTGACGAATATGTGCTTTCTTGTCTCGTAATGGCCGTCGTTTTCTTTCATATGATCTTCATTTATATATTCGTATCGCGTACAAATGTACCCATAAAAGAAATGCTGGAAAAGGATCGTCTGTACGACAAAGAATTAGCGAAAATGAAGCAACGAAAATCGAGTCGAGTTGTGAAGGTCGTGGCAAGAGAAATTCCCCCACCCCTCAACTGGAAATGGTCCCAGGACAGTCAGGAGTCGGAGAGTCGAGTTTCGCCGACGAGTCGCTACGAGGAGACGAATCACCTGCTGCCACTTCGGATTAACGAAATCAGACGACAAGGAAACAATATTCAGAATATCAGATACCAATAAATAAAGCTCAATCTTCTGTCTTTACTTCGAAATAATTTTTCCATATGGTTTCCCTATGGTAGGAAACTTCGTGCAAGTATTATTATTTCAACACCAAAATGGCTTCAGTTGAAAATTCTGTGTTTTATTGCTGCTTTTTGTTTCACTATTAAAAAACTGAAAATCAAAAAAATATATTTTATGTTAGAAGTGCCAAAATAAATGTTGCTATCAAACAATTGATATTTTTACATGCATTTACTTATAGTTAGTTAGATAAACTTCTCACTGTTGCATAAAGAATGATCAATAATTTAGTTTACTCTTTAATCAAAAACGAAAATTTTCTTGAAGTATTGAAGTGTTATGTTTTTTCAGCCGTTAGAGCTACGTGATTAACGTAGCTTTGAGTCATCTGTGCAATCCCATCTCAGGCAATAAGAAATGTATATTTTTATTTTTTTTTTGATGAAAACCTAAAATAAATGAGTTTTGGTTCTTTAAGCTCCAACTTGTAATAATTTTATGTTAACAAAACTTTGTCTGAAAATTTTCTTATAATATAATGAAAATTATAAATTGTTTCCACAACATATCTAACTGTTTCCTACTTTTCTTTGTTGCTTTTACAAATTGCAGATCATTTTGGTAGATCGCCATGAGACGTAATTGTCTGTTTTCAGGCGTCTAGCGCTTAAGACATTTGTATAGCCGACTTCTTTTTTGAATCTTCTAATTTTTCTCCGCAACTTTAAAATTTCACTTCAATTTTTATGATGACTGACTTAACCAGATTATTCTCTATACTTTTTCTAGATGTTATTGGGTTAATAAATTTTTTAGAATTGTAAATAGTAATTCAAAAAACTAAATACCTTCATAAATGTATGTATATCTTTATATAAGTAAGATTTTAGTTTAAAATAAAATTTCAAACCCAGCAAAAAATGAGACATAGCTTGGATGCTACTTTTCAATTTCTTAAACCAGTTCATCATTATCTAAATTCGAATGATTAATTAATTATTATCATTACCTAAATTACTATTTTCTTGCTATTTGCAAATTGTATCACTTTGAACTTGCGTGTTGGGGATGTTTTTCATTCTAAAATCAAAAATATTTGTAATTTTTTCATCTTTTGTTCAAAATTTCAACAAATATTTTTATTTCGGTTACTCTATACTAGTTAAAATACAGTCGGAAAATTCAGTGCTTCGATAGGACTTCAGTGCTCAATTTCAAATAATTTTCAGGCTGATGTTTCAACTGGCGTTTAATTCTGACGTTTAGTTCTGACTTCAGGCCAATTTTGAAACAATTTCAACAGTATCCTAATTTTTTATACCAAATTGGTTCATCGAATTTTAATTTTTGCTTTTTAACAGAATCGCAGAAAAATTACCGTGGTCGGAGCAAACTGTGCTTCTTGCACATCAATTGATTAATCCTATTGTTTTCAGTAGTTCCCTTTTAGCTTGATCGAAACTAAATTGAAGACAAATTTTTTATAACCAATTTAGTTCGGCAGCCTGTGTGTATCATTTAAGATCATCTATTTACCACAGTTTGTTTTTGAGCAAAATTGCTTAGCGCTGCGAGTAAAATACTTATTTCTGATTAGCTGAAATTGCTTCAGAAGAAACTGCTTTGGGAGAAAAATGTGAACTCGAAACACCTGTAAAAAAAAGTTTGTGGAAAAAAATTGATCTGAATTAATTGCGAGTCACACAAATCGAAAACAAAATAATTGACAGGAAATGATAGGCACTTTTAGGAATGGTACCTTTTTTTGAGTTTGATGATGCAAAATTCCCTAGTTCCATTTGATACTTCCGTCTGTCCGGTTCAATTTTTTTTTAATCTATTCTGTTATACGGTTCAAAACTGATCTTTCTGAAACTTTAATAATTGAACTGTATTTTAATTGACCAAAATAAGTTTTGGATGTTTAAAAAATTGAAGCTCTATTAACAATTTGGTATATATGGGCCGTGTAACAGAAAACACGCGCTGGTTTCTTATAATTTTTTAAAATTCAAATCTAGTAAAAACAAAATCATCAATGCTAAAGACTTCCGCAGAAATAATAAGCTTAACCTAACTTTTTCGTTTGATGTTTTATTATTCAAGTTTTTCGAAAAAAAATAGCGCCATTTGTCAATTTCAGAACATCAAAGCATTAAATGGGTTCAGATAAACTATATGTAATTTTGAGAGCAGTTGTTCGAAAAAAGTTTTCCACCAGCTTTTTTAAGTTATTGTGTCTCGATATATTCTGATACTATCAAAAGCAATTGTATCATAGACAAGACTGCTAGTGTTAATGCAAATCTCCTAAATGTTCGAGATACATCGTAAAATGTTTGAAGTAGTTAGTGTTTTTTAAATTATTTAGCATATGCAATGTAAAATACGGGGAGACATATTTCGGATTTACCAATAATTTAACTGGAGCAGTTCGTTTGCCTCATTTCAGTTGTTAGTCTATTATGAGCCGAGTTATTTCGTGGCATACGTTATATTCTAAATAACTGGAAAAATTCTCAGAGTTCCTATTGCTTAGATGGATTAAGCTATAAGCAAACAGAAATCAATTTTTATTCCATATAAAAAAAAAATCCAAAAAATTTTTTTTTTCGAAATTGCTGTTTAAAGATACCCGAATGGTGTTTGAACTGGCTGCGACAACTGGGATCAAGTAACATTAGAAACAAGCGAATTGTAGCAGCAGTTGACAAAAATTTTTATTACATTTTAGAAGAAAAAAAATTGTCAACTGCTGCTACAATTCGCTTGTTTCTAATGTTACTTGATCCCAGTTGTCGCAGCCAGTTCAAGCACCATTCGGGTATCTTTTCAGTCATAAACAGCAATTTCGAAAAAAAAAACATTTTAGTTTCGAATTCCGTATGCGTCGCTCTGCTGACTAACGGTTTTCTACTCAGCACAAGCATTTTATTGCCCTTCGGCTTGGCCCCTGACTTTTGACTAATTTTTATTGCATATTTCTCCCACAAGATCTCAATATACTTGATAAACTAATTTCTTGGGTTCAATGCAACATTTGCAGACAAAATTGGTATCGGACAAAAAGGTTTTATAGGTTTTTTCTATAGACTTTTTTGTTGCTAAATAAGCAAAACCTTGTTTGCACTGTGTTTTGAGTACATAATTAAACCCAGATTTGTACTTTTTTAACGGAGTAGTCTTAAAAATCCAATAGCTGAGTGTGAGATGGCTTCAAAATTTTCGGCAAAAACGTTATGGGCGTTGATGGACTCAAATGTATATCGCAGTTTTATTTTTAAGAAAAAAAAATTGATGATGGAGCCATAGAAATATTAAATTTACAATACTGAAGAAATACTAGATAGAACATGACACTCCCTGGCTGTATAATATTACCAAATGAAGACAATGCAGACTTCTAAAAACCAAATTGAGCGAGTTCAAGACAGATTTCCTCTGGCAGCTTGATCTGCTTCGATAGCTTCGAAGAGAGCCTTGAAGTTTCCTAGTCCGAAGCCCTTAAACATAAACACCTCAAAAGATTATGCTTTTTTATTGAACTAATAATTTTTGAAATTAATTTTATATAAGTAGATCACGCTTGATAAAATATTTTCAGATTATTCATGAAAATATTTTGTCGGTGTGTTTTTTGGCCCAATATTTGCAAACAGGTAATGTTTTATACAGGGGCGGATCTAGGATTTTTTTGAGGGGGAGCGGATTTTCAAAAAAGTTTCGAAATTTTTGACTGATGACCTTTTTATTTTTTTAGGTCGACCTATTTGATATTCCGATTGATATTCCGAGCTCTCCTAAAGCACTAAGCACTAAATAGTCCTCACTGTTTTGGCCAAATTTTCTGCCGCTTTTTAGGCACTTTTTGAAAAATTTTGAAAAAAAAAATTGCGTTTTTTTGGCGCATGCTCCCCCTCAAAGTTAGTATACATTGGCGCCGAAGGCGCCTTTAGAAAAATTTTAGGGTCGGTCCGCAAAAATGGATTTCTTAAAAAGTACCAAAGGGGGGACCCTTTGGGTCGGCAGGGGGTCGAATCCCTGAGGGTGGGTGTCCGCCCCCCCCCCCCCTAAATCCGCCCCTGGTTTTATGTGTGTCTCTTCTACCGTTTGCCTCCACCTGACACACAAATAACTTTAATGCGAGCTGCCACTTTAGTTGCAGATGATGACAAAATGTGACAGAAATTTTGTAAGTGTGTATATGCAGCCTGATGCCAATTTTCACAATAGTTTGAAAAGGTTAAAAAAAATTCCAATTCAGGGAAGGGGCTGCTAGACGATCAAAATTTATTAACACTGAAATTTTCTTTTTGATTTGATCTTTGAGAAACCCAAAAAGGTTCATATCAACTTTCCTTTTTATAATCTAAAAACTTCCTAAATGCGTGATAGCTCTAGCCGCTGTTTACCTGGTGGTTGTTCCTCTGTATGATCTCAATGAAGAGGGTGGGTCTATCCTGGACTGGTTTGGTGAATATTTGCAGCAAGTAGCCGCCTTCGTCATAATCCACCAGAATCTTCAACTCCTTGAGCTGAAACGCAATACAGACGAGTTGCAAAATATATACTGAACAGTCATCGCAAAAAATAAATAAACAAAAAATCAATTTTTTCTTCTTTTTGTCACTTTGAGACTTGAATGAAAAAATTGAACCTAAGTTTAAAGTCTAGTGAGTAATAGCATGATTAACTAATTTGTACAATATCCAAGCGAAGGACAAAATAAAGTGTATCATTGGTGATTTTCATCATCCTCATTTATAAATTTCATAATTTCAAGTTCTAAATTTCACTTAACGCAAAAGTTTTAAGTCTAAAAACTTAAATTAAAAATAATTTTAAAATTATACACCGAATCAATAGAAAATGCTTTTTTTTAAATCTAATTATATCTGCTTGTATTCAACTAAGTTGCAACTTAACGGGAAAAAGCACTTATTTTGTTCTGCTGGTGATCAAATTTTATCAATTGCAAAAAAAAAACAGTTTTAATCTTTTTTGAAAATTTGACTTTACCCTTCAAAAAAATCGCTACGGGGAACCATGCAAACGCAATAGTGATGTTCTTGACAATAGCCATTATTCAGTTTTAAAACCTCAATTCAAAGAAGGTTTCTCAGAACCTAAAAGAATTTTTGACTCTTAAATAATAAAATCTGATCAGTTTTTAAACGAAAATGCGAAGTTGCGTACAATACATAGCTTCAAAAGCATTAAAATTTTAATTTTTAGTTTTCAATTTGTATGTACTCTCTAAAAGCTTTTTGCTATTTTACAGTTCAAGACGGCTTAACTCGAGAAAATTTTTTTCATGTTCTTTTTTTGCTCTAAGTCAAATTGTTTGCACAAAAAATTTTGATTCAATCACTGAACACTTTCTTCCGAATGCTGATTGTTTTTCATTCAGCTATATCCTTTTGTTTAATTCAACGACAAGGTGTAATAGACGAGTGTTTTCGTCGACGAGTGTTTTGTACGGCGCACAGATAATTAGGCCAAAGACAATTCAGCCAAATTAAAATTCAGACAGTTCAGCCAAAAGTATACAGACAATTCAGCCTGAGACAATTCAGCCAGTTTTATAACACGCTAGTTTCGAAAAAAAAATTGGAATTGGAGTTACATCTTGTTTTAAGGTCGCCTCTGGGCGCGCTACGCGCTTGCTACGTGCGCATAAACACGTTGGAGCGACTGCGGCGCTCATTATTATTGGCAGACTGGTCTCTGGCTGAATTGTCTGCACATTTTTGGCTGAATTGTCTGAATTTAAATTGGCTAAAATGTCTTTGGCAGAATTGTCTGGACGCGTTTTATACATGTAGACAAGACAACAGTAAGATCAGATTAATTTCATAGGTTCAGACCAAATAACTGCAACTTTTATCCGATGACTTTGTTTCGTTTTCAACTGAAAACGAAATTAATATCCAGAAAATTTAAGTGATATAATGTTTCTGTTTTTTAAACATAAATAAAAGCAAAATGATACACCAGGAACTTTTTTCTACATGTAGACAAGACAACAGAAACATCAGATTAGTTTCATAGGTACAGACCAAACAACTGAAACTTTTATCCGATGACTGTATTTCGTTTCCGCTTGAAAACGAAATTGATATCCGGAAAATTTAACTGATATCATGTTTCTTATCTTAAAACATAATTCATAATTATAAGCAAAATGATACACGAGAAAATTTTTTTGATAAATATTTGATACCACGTAAAAATTATGCTCATGTGGTTTTTTCTGCAGACAAATTTTGGTATTTTAGAAGTTCATTTTGACAATACATGATTAAAGTAGGCTTACAATTAAGCAAGTCTTTCATATACAAACTCTTATGTTGAATAATGGGCTTCTGAAGTATGCTAGTGTGGCACATTTTTGGGACACTTCATTCTGGCAAAAAGAAGTAAAAAGAAGTGTGAATTGAAACGTTTCAATTTGAAACTAACATTAACTAGTAGTGATCGAAGGTGGTCGATTCATGCAAACTGTTGACTGGTATCTAATCAATACCGAAGGTCACAATGATAGAATCATAAAAACAAATCACAACATTTCCAATAGTAAAAATTTAAAAACTACATTTAACTAAAACTAATTTTTTATAAACCCATTTCCAAATTCAAAGTGGGAACAAATTTTTCAAATGTACCATAAACAAGTAACAGAACAGCAAGCAAAATTAAATCTACAATTGAAATTTTGGAAAGTACAAATATACAAGGGTGAATATACCGAATATACAAGGTGTATCAAATGATAAGATAATTAAAAGCAACTCTAAACTAGAAGATGTACATTTAACATGCACAGAATTATATACACCAATAATGAAGGTCAGCTGAAATGAGTTAACATAAAATGCGACAGTAGAAAAAAAACTAAAAGTCCTGAAAGTTTTAGTTGAAATTTGAATCAAATTCTTCTAGTCTATGTTTGAGATCTGAGTCGATTGTAGAGGATATTTCGCTGGTTTCGTCTATATCCTCACTTGTGACATCTGCTGTAAGTAGGGTTGAGGGAGCGGATCCGAATGATGATTTTGCCATTATAATCTGGATCGGAGTATAGCTGGCTCGTCCCGATGGGGGGATTTTTGTGAGGACCAAGATAGTGTAGTTTTGGCGACAGGGATGGTTTTACAGAGTTCCTCCGCAAGTGGCGTTGGGAAACCCGACGGTGAGACACAAGGGTATTTTTCCCTCGGGGATGTATGTGGGTCGTCTTGTATTTTGATAACTTCTGTGACCGGTTCTTCGTTTTCGAGGACGTTATCAAAAAATCTTCGTTCGCCGAAGAGTTTGGGGGGTCCCGAATTTCTACGAGGTCTGGACGGCCTTGGTTGATACCCCACTGGGGAGGGTTCTTACGGAGTAGTGTCTATGGTATCGGGTTCTTTTCTGAGCCCTCTCTGGTCACAGATTCAGGAACGTCCAAATCTACGGGAGTTTCTGCGGCTTCAGGAGAGTGAGAGGTCGTTGTGTGGGTATGTTGGTCACACCTAATGCTTAACTCATGGTTACGTCCCGATCCGCCTTGCTGGCTAAACAATAAGTCATTATTTGACATATCTTCGAAGTAGTCCTTTATTATTCCATCCCAAGAATTTAGGTTCAAAGATAAAGAGGAATCTGATGTATTTTGCGGTGAATCATGTGCAACTCTTAGATCTGTCGGTAGCCCGAAAATTCGAGTATGAGTGTCCACTCTTTCAGTGCCATGCCTTGAATTAATTTGGTCTCTCCCAATGGCCTTCTTCGATGGAGATAATTTCCACTTCCCTGCTAAACTCGAAGATAAGGTTAGGTTATGCCCAGTGGGTGTATGGTTCACAAAACTTTTCTGGGGACCAGGAAGCAGTTTTTCTTTGAAGGCTAAGTTCGATTTGCCTAAAATGTGGCCACTGTTTTTGTATGATCAGACGAATTAATGACATTATCCTTCACCAGGTTAAAGAGGGTTCCCCGTTTTTTCTGTTGGCGGCCCTTCTATAATACTTACCTCCAGAGGCAAGTATCCTTATCGGTCTGCTGACTTTGCGCGGGCTATGTGGTTCTATCACAGGATTCTTTGGTTGTGTGAGAGCTAGCGGCAGGTTGTCCTCTCTCTGAATCGGTTTCTGTCTCGATGTCGGCGTCCAGTTAGCCGTCTTCCATCAAGTCTTGCAGTTCGCAATTTCTAGCCCGATGATCAGATAGAATGGAACTTCCTTTATCTAAAAGGTTATCAAAGGAAATCAGTTTTTTCCATCTGGTGGTAGCCGTTCTACTAAAAGTTTCTAGAAGGGAGTACAACCGATTGAAAATTGTTTTGTAATTTTGAGGTTCCAAATAATTTTTTCGATCAAATATTTTAAAGAAGGTTTCGGTAATTCGAATGACATCGCTAATAATTTTGTTTTTACAGCACAAGCCCATCAGATCTATGAGCACCATCTCTACAGTAAAGGATTTCGATGTTGAATTTTTCAAGAAAGATTTAAAATTGTGGTATAAAAAATCATCCCATGGTCGACTATAATCTTCCTTGGAAATCTGTGAAGGTGATTATAGTCGTTTAAAAAGAAAAAACATAATTTGATATGGTGTTGTTGACGTTCTTTGCCGATGGAAACTTTGTAAAACTATCAAGGCATAAAAGAATATATTTTTTTTGTTTCCCAAAACGCGTCCAATGGTCCTGCGAAGTCCAAGTTTATTTCCTCGTTCGCGAACGACAACGTCGGGAGCTTTGTGGTATATTCCGTACCAAGTAACCTTTTGAGATTCTTACGGGCTTTCAGACATTGATTGCATGATTTCCCGTGATGGTATAACTCTCGGAAGATACTGGGCCACCAGATATACTCAGCGAAAAACTTCATCACAATTTGGCATGGATGTGTTTCGTGTAACATTGAGCTAAATAATATCCTCATGACTGGTAGCACGGATAACATATTGTCCAAGAATAATAGGCCGTCCTTTATGTGGAGGTATTTTTCATAGTTCTTTCATGTAGCTTCCATAAATGCGCATTAGTTGTCCGTTTCTGAGGGTGCTGAGGGTGTTGAAAAAATCCCAAACTACTTTTCCTACCTCGTCATTATCTGGCGTAGTTTGTTTGAACAGTGCTATTCTGGAAATGAAGGGAAGTAAGGTAGCATCAACTCTAATATAAATCTCTTCAGGAAGTTTACATGATCGTCCGGGAGATGGTCATCTTTGAATGTTATTGAGATGTTGTGTTCTTCTGGTATGATAAAAAAATGGTTCGGTAGTTTCTTCCACTCTTTCTGTCCTTAGTATTTAGGATTTGTATTTGTATTGCTTGAGAAAATGTAAAAGGACCTTGTCAAAAGAAAGTAATGCTTCTACAACTGAAATTAGAATTGTCCATAAGTAAGCAATTTGAAGAACAATTTTCTGATCTGATATGTGAAATAGCGCAAATGTTTTTTTGACGGAGCAATAGAAGAGACGATAGCGGCAATAATTTCATGATTGAAAGTTGCTAAAGAGTCATGACCAATCAAATCGCTTGAATTTTCAACTCCCGACGAGATATTACTATAAACGAATGTATTTGTATTTACAGCCACCGACGGGTTATCTACAGAATTTTATTTTCACACGGTAATAACTATCTCTGCTAGATGAATTTTGTCAATTGAAGCGACTATAAATTCTTCTTCGTAATAAGAAGGTGAGATGTTTTGCCCAAAGTTAACTTAGATAAAAGATTGGTAAAACCCATGTCCTTGCCTGGCTTATGAGAATTTTCAAAATTAAAAGGTAATGGTCTATTTACCCAGCGGGTTAGTTTGCTATGCATTGTTTTATTACTACGATTTGCTGAAAGGGCCGAATAAAAGGCTTTACGGTCCATTACGATTTCAAATTCTGCCGCAAAAAGATAATTTCTAAAATGTTCTGAGGCCCACATTTAGCCCAGCAGTTCAATTTTGTCGGTGAAATTTTTCATTTTGTGATTATTTAGAAATCTCAAGTCAAATGAGATTGTTTTCCACAGCCCACTTGATATTGTTCTAAAGTTGCGCGCAGGCCACTATGACAAGCGCCCTTACTTAATCTCTTTTTCTTTTTTGTCGATGTGGCTGTTTTCTGTAAAATTTACAATTTCTGATTTCAGCTTTTCAAGAGCTATCGAATGTTATTCATCCCACTTATAGAACCGTTTTTGTTTAAGAGGGAACAAACTGGAGAGCTCAGGGCCGAAAGGTCGATAAGTTTGGGACGAATTTTACGTACTGGTTTATAGAGCCGGAGAAGGATCGCAATTCCCAAATGTTTTTTGGGATTGGGAGGTTTTTGAAAGAGTCTGCTTTACCAACCAACGGTGGCACTCCATCTCCCAGGCTTTTAAAATTGAGCCATTTTTTCTGACTGAAAATTTGCGCATTTTCCGTATTTCACCGCCATATTGTTCTTGTTTAGAATTGTTAAAAAATTATTTACAGTTGCTTTATGTTCATCTAGCGATCCTTTCGTGCCACCAGGATGTCGTCTACATAACAATTTGTAGACGAGATGGTATGTTGTTTAAAATCGATTCGTTGAAAGACCTTATGAAATTCGTTGAGCATATCGCCCAGTCCGAAAAAAACCGGTTAAAAATCGATACGTTCCCGTTGTTTCGCGGACCACAATGCTGAAGTTAAATTGCCTCCAGAAATTTTCACAAATTTCTACAAATTGAGCTGGCTGTAAGTGTTTTTCAAATCCAAACTGCTAAACCAAACCGGCCCAGTGGAGGTTTCCGAGAGTTGAATAGCCACGTTATCTATTAATTCATGAATGTTGAGTATTTGATAATTATTTTCTAAAATCTGTTGATTTAGCAATTTAGAATCTAATGCCAACTTAATCGAGCCGCCTATCTTCCTGGCTATAACAATCGGGATAATTTTTTTCGAGTTTTATAATGTGACCTTTGGTCTTCATTTTTCCTAATTCTTACTATACTCCCGCGAGTAAGTGTAGAGAAACTCTTCTCGCTTTTGTCTGAACAGGTTTAAACGGGGAGTGGAAGTGCGTAACCTTGCGATCAAGCGGAATTTTTTCCAACCTTGTCAATAATTTTTCTAAAATTTTTAAGAATTTGGTCGGTTGGTAAAAAAAAATGTTTTCCACTTTTTATCGATTGGTGGTTGGCCGACTGAACAAATTGACTGGGGGCATTTCTTCTGCTTCACTTCGATACGTAATTTTTGATAGGTTATCGTTCCCCAAAAAGTTGCGTTCGTGTCCCCTTGTGATGAAGAACGGCGTTTCTTCCCTAATCAACCCGTTGGATTGAGTCTTGACGATAATCTTTCCCAAGATGTTGATCGTGTCGACGGTGAAACCACAATATAGATCCCTAATCTTCTTCTCCACTGGGTAAACGTTTAGATTAGGATATCTTAGCTTAAGTTCGTAAAGTATATTTTGTTAAATAAAACCAACTGGGCTCGCCGAATATACAGGAATGTTCATGTTCATGATCATTCCCCATCCCAATCCTATGTTTAAGAGTTTCTTGGTCTGGAGTCCGTTTTCGTCATAAGTTGTTTTAACGCTCAACACCAAAACATCAGGTGACGTATGTACAATTCTCGGTATTTACATGATTATCCTTTACAATATTTACGCAAGGTCGTTTGTTGCAAAACAAAAGTTAGCAAAATGTCCTCCTTAAATACAACTTTTACACTAGATGTCCTTCGCGGGCATACTTTCAGATGTCCTTTCGTAAATGGTTTACCACATTTCATGAACGATTTGCTTCTTTCTATGTTGAGGCTTGTTTATTTCTTGATCTGATAATGAGTATTAAAACATTTAAAAGTCAGCTCATTGGTCAATGATCTCGCCATTTTGGTCAAATTCTGATGGTTAAAATGGCTTTTTTTTGTCAATTAAGGCCTGATTTAGCGCTTACGACGGGCCTATCGTGGCTGAGAGGAGTTTCCGTTGGGTTTCCGTGTCATTCATTTCGCAAATGAAGATGTATCTTATCCATTTGACTTCATCGGTCAGCCTTATATTGCATATGCTCGCCAAGTCTGTCAGAGCACCCCAAAATTGTTGAAATGATTCTCGATCATTTTGTTTTTGGTTTAACAACTTGTAACTCTCGAAAATTGTATTAGGAGGCTTATTAAAGGTGGTGATTAGTAGGGTCCAGAATCACGTAAATGAAATAGCTAGCATTTTTACACGAGGGTTCTTTTGGACAAAGGCCTTTTTTTCCTTTGCTGCCGAGCCGAGTGCTAAAACCAAAATCGAACTAAGCTTCTTGTCGGCTTCTGCCCGTCTCATCCATTTGAACTTTTTCTTTTCTTGTTTTACCCGCTTTTCTTTGTCGGCTTCGTATAGTTTCAGAGCGTTTTTGTTCCTTGCTTCTCTACTCGCTCTATCTGTGTCCAAATCGCTTGCTGTGGGTTGCTCCAGAATTATAATTTGCGTTTCTGGTACCTCCGGTCCATTGAGGCTATCTATGTCCAGATTTTCTTTCGTAATTATCGCCAATTGGAATTGGTCGCTCCACTGGGTCCAGAAATGTGGTGGCTCGAAAGTATGGTTCGGCCAGAATGAGGCGATTCCACTCATGTTCGATTCATTTGACTGCGCACTAGTATAGTGTTCTAATAGTTGTGTACAATTTATGTGCAATTACTTAAAAGAATAAGAGAAGTAAAATGAAGTGTGAATTAAAACGTTCCATTATAAAACTAATACCAACTAGCAGTGATCGACCGATGGTTGATTCATGCGAAGTGTTGACTGGTATGCAATCAATACCGAAGGTCATACTGATTTACTCATTAGAGCAAATCACAACAATTAAATATAATTTTTTCATACTATAACTGCTCCGTAGACCTTAAATTGTAGTTGAAACATTCAAGCCATCGCCCTGATACAAGGAGTTCAGTTAAATTTAGGCTCTATTGATTCAATTTTTTCTCATCCCTAACGAAGCTTTGAATAATCATACAGATGCCAGATTTACCACTCATCCAAGTGACTTTTAATTTGTCCTCTTTTCATTTTGCCAACAAAATAAAGTCAATCGTCTTATCTATCGCACCCCTGCCTGCTATTTTGATTTGCTTAGTTTTCGTTGTAAAACGTCTAATTGTTAAAATTATTGAAATTTCGTTTAACCACAAATTTACAAACTCATTGTGTCTCTTGTACAACCTCGTTTAATCAGTAATATCGCCTTGGTGTAGTTCACGTGAAGTATAGAAAAACTAGAGAAAACTTAAATTCAATCTTACGTTGAAGGAAAAAGTTAAAAGCAACTGCACGAAAAGGAAATGAGATAAATTTGAAAAAAAATCAAAATTCATAAATTCTTCTCAAGAAAATACATGATAATCAATTATAACCTTTTATAATGGATTATATTATTTATAACATATCATGATAACAATCCATTTTAATGATTTATAAAGGATTACAATCGATCATAATGGATTATGCTGATATAAAAATACTAGAATTATAATCCATTTTTGATTGATTATAATCGATTACTTTTGAGATTTTATACTGACTATAAAATGACAAAATAATATCCATGGCCTCCAGTGCGATTTCCTCAACTCCACTTGACGTATACTTATGATTTAATTTTGCGTGGAAAAAAGCACCCTAAACCCGAAATTCCTTCATCATTTTAAGAAACATCGGTTTTCTTCTGCGCGGAAACTTTTGATAAAATGGGATTTATAAGATTTGACATCGGAAAAAAATCGGTTGACCTTAAAAATGTCAACAAACTTCTTTTTTGCGCAATTGTTCAAGATACAAGATATTTCAGTGGTCGAAATAAAAACAAGTGTTGTGATACATACCGATCAATTGAATTAAATAACTTGTTTTACCTTGTCGATGTCTTCTTTGATGACTGTCTTGGAGTGTTGTAGCTTCTCCTTCAGCTGTTCGTAGTAAGTGTCCGGCACACTGAGGAATTTCATGCCCCTCTCGCGACACGCACTCACCTATAATCACAATCGAATATTCTAGAAACTTCCATGATGTCTTGCTGATCATGCTTGAGTTGATCTGTTTTTTTTAAAGAAATGAATAACAGTTTTATCAAATCCACGATTTATTCCTATAGTTCTATAGTGCTCTCAAGTTAAGAATATGACACATTGTTTCTCTTGTACAACCTCGTTTAATCAGTAATATCGCCATGGTGGAGTTCACGTGAAGTATAGAAAAACTAGAGAAAACTTAAATTCAATCTTACGTTGAAGGAAAAAGTTGAAAGCAGCTGCACGAAAGGGAAATGAGATAAATTTTAAAAAATTCAAAATTCATAAATTCTTCTCAAAAAAATACATAATAATTAATTATAACCTTTTATAATGGATTATATTATTTATAACATATCCTGGTCTATAAGATGTTTGCTTCTATTCAATGGGTTAGTGGAAATTAATTTCGTTCCTTGTTACTCGTGTTCAAATTCGAGTATATAAAATTGATATTGACAATTTTTTGTTATAGCTATGAGATTTGAGACCCAGTTACAGAAGAAAAAAAACAGTCCGAACTGTTATGAGTTAGGACTGGAGTGTATAACTCATAGAGTAATTTCGGATAGGGTACACCGTCTGCTCGTCACGCTATCTTATTTTCGGCCGGATAGATTCGTGCAACTTCTTAGTCTAATACCGATCCTAATCTTACTCTTATACTATCTAGTCTCAGGTTGTTTAACTAGTCTCTGCTAGGCTCAATAGATCTAGGGTATACTGGTTTATTGCGGCTGCTGAAGTGCTCGGGAGAGTCCAACTATTTTCTAAGTTAAATTCAAATCTCTCTGGTGCTGAAATTACAAGTAACTTCAGCACTTACAAATAAGTGGGTTGTTAGTTAGATGGATCATGATTGGTTAATATTAAATACTTTACATTGGTAAAATATCTAATTTATCCAATCATAAAATGTAGTTTAGATCAGGTTCCACCCATCCGGGTTTTACAGAGTTTTTTAGAATAGTTCTTCTGCGATTCGAAGGATGGATGATGGACGTTGGTTTTTGGCGAACATCATTTTCTTCCGTTTCCTCTTTGTTAAAGAAGTTCCAGGAAGCTGGAGTTAGAGACATAAGACGTTGTGTCTTCTAGTGACAACGACTAAGTCTTTGCAACAAACTCAAATCTGATTTCAGAATGGTTGGCTATGTCAGGTTTTTCTGTTCTGCGTGGAGAACTTCTTTTGTGTCTGATCTAGTTTGGGAATGGCGTGGAGATTGTGCGTGGAGGGGATGCCTGGTTACTCGGATCTGTACGTATACTTGAACATCGAGGTGGTCATTGGTCTAGTTCAATGAAGTCCTTTTCTGCGAAGTCAAGTCGTACTCTAAATCCTTTGAGTTGTGATTGTGAGTGGCATATCGATTGTGGTTGGCCATTCTCTCTCGAGTGTAGTGGGGTCGTTTTGTCTTTAGATGTTCGTCCTTGGTGTTATATTCTGATCTATGTATTGCATAATGTAATTTACATTTTATAAAACACTTATTAGTTTAATATTTTTTAATTATGATTTTAGTTAGTTGTTTTCACAAAAGCTTTTTGTTTTAGTTCGGTTATTTTGAAGAGTTACTCACCCTTGAGTAGCTCTTATTAAAAATAGAGGTGTGGTCACAAAGCGTGGATGTAGCGCGGTGGGTTAGGCCGGCTATAGAGCATGCTCAGGACGTCCTTCCTGGTGGGTTAGGCCAGGAGTGGGAGTATGATTTCATGCGGTTTTTATGAGGGGTCCTGTTATGTGACAACGTTTTATGTTGGGTTTGTTGTGGTTTTTCTTATGTCTTGTTGGTTATGTCCTTTTTCCAAAAAGCAAATTGTTCGTGGTATGGGTTTGTCTTTCGACTTTTTTGTGTTTTATTATTTCTTTTTTAGACTTTATAATAGTCTTCAAAAGAATAAATTATCCAGTTTTAAACTGGGTTAATCCGGTTTGGGTACCGTTGGTTTCCTTTTCTTAGTCATGCTGTTATTCTATGATTTGTGGTATTTAGTAAGCTGCGTTGGTTAGTTTTGTTTAGTATATGATTCCTTTCCAACCGGGTTAAAGGAAGGTTTGAAACATGTTATTATATGTTAGAGTTGTTGAGTGTGAAAACTTGAAACTGAAATTCATTATTTTAAACAATTCTTCGTGGGCGAGCTGTGCGAGTGTGGATAGAATTTCTGTGCGAATGAATGAGAATATCAAAAGGTTAGTACTGCATTTGCATTTTATTAATTTACTGCATAGAATTTGGAAATTTACTGCTAGTTATGGGGGAATTTTAAGTTACAAATTTTCATCATAATTAGATTTACTGCTTGTGGGGAAAATTTTAGAAATGAATTTACTGCATTGGTATTAAATTTATAAATTTATAAGTGTAAGATATTAATAGAATTTTTGAAATCTGTTTGATGAAATTTGCGATTTTTATTTGTCTTTTGTGGTTTTTGTAGGTAATTGTCGGATGAAGGCTAAAAATCTAAAGAAAACATGGATAAAGTATGGTGAGTTTTTTAATATTTTAATTAGTTAGTAATATTCATTTAATTCATACTTACCTGTTAGTCGTCGGGGAAAAAACCGTGGGGGAAGATGTCGTGGATGAGATCGGAATTTGTTAGTAGTTTAGCTAAGATGCGGATGATATTTTTAGTCTGAAGCAGTGGCCAAAGCAATTGAAGTGCCTTAATAGTGGTTAGTTCTTCAGTGCCAACTGCAAACTCATAAGGTGTGTTTTGGATTAGATTATATAATTTGTGATTGAATTTAGTGTTGTGGATGAATTCTAAAATTGGGATTTCTATAGGTTGTACAAACTCGTGCGGGATAAGGAAGGGTCGGGATTCTTCGGCGTTGAAGGTCTTGGTGATGGGACAGAAGATGTACATTTGGGTTATGGGATCATAATTGCGAAGAATACCATGAAGGTTAGTATCTTTAATGCAATATGTGAAATTTAGGAAAAATGGTGAAGTGTATTTGGAATTAATGAATTGAAAACGATGGTGTGGTTGTCTAGAGGGTGTGTGTAGGTCAAAGTGATTTTGGATGAAGCGATAATAACTATATGTGTGGGTTTGTTTAGTGCGCAACATAATATCGTGTGAGCAGTGTAAATCTCTTTCGTGTGGTGCAAGGAAATGAAAGGTTAGTGAAAATATTTGGAAGCGTTCTTTAAAACTTTCGTATGCTTGTGTGTCTGTTAGTGCTTCTGAAATAATGTGATCAAACTTTCGGTCGAAGATGTTTAGTGTAAATATATATGGTGTCTTGATGAAAAATTTCTCGGTAATTTGTGGATTAGCGAAGCGATCGTCGTCTAAGAATTGATCTTGGTTAGCTCTGATAATGTTGTGATCATAGTATTCGAGTGTATATTCGTTAGCTCTAGGTGCAGTGTGTGTTTTTAGTGATTTTTTATATCCAACGTAAGTAAATTGTCTAGCGGTTAGTGGTGTAGTGAGTCGATATAGCATGTCCGTATTTCGCTCTATATCGATGTGAGTGTTAGATAAAGGTAAGCAAAGAGGGTTAGTAAAATGATAATATGAGGTCCAAGAGAGAGTGGGCATTAAAACGTATTCATCTACAAAGTTGCGTGTTTCGTTAGTGTCGTGGGGGGTGTTTAAGGTGTATTGTGGGAATGAGGGTAAGGTGATGGCTAAAAATTCTTTTGTGTTAGTATGCTTGGGGTGGTTGATGTATTCACGGGCTGTTCCTGGTTTTGCTGGGAAAGGATGGTTGGGGAACTTTCTTTTAAAAGTGCGGTAAGCTCTATTAGTGTTGAGTGAAGATTCAGTTGATGTGGATGATGGTGCTAATGATTCAGTATAATTTGAAAAGGGTGTAGGGGTAGGGGGGTTGGATGAATTTATTGTGGAGGAGATTTGGTTTATTGTTGGGGTATGGAGGTGGTAGGTTTGTTGTTGAAGGGTAATAAAATTATCTAGCTCTGGGGAGATTCGGGGGGTGTCTGGAGAATGAGATGATTGGTCAGAATGAAGTGAGGAGTAGGTTGGGGTAACTTGGGAAGCATAAGAGGGTGTGGAAGTGATTGGGTCAGGGTTATTGGATAATATGGGTTGAAAAGGGGGTTGAGAAAAATTAGAAGAATTATGAAAATTATTGGATGGGGATGGTTCTGAGTCGGCAAATTCATCGGGGGTTTCAATATTCGGGTTATTGAGTTGTGAGATGGAATATAAAACTGAGATGTGTGAATTAGTGTCGGAATTCATGCCTGATGTTACATTACTAGATGGAAAATCGGGTGGCGGAAAAGCAAAAAGTGGTATTATTGGGATTGGAGAGGTAAGATTGGTTGGGTGGGAATTTGATCGGTGTAGTGATCCAAGTTGGCGGCTCATCGTGGGCTAAAAAAATGATTATTTTGAGACTGAAAAGCGGTGGTATGGGGTTGTTCAATAATTTGTTCATAAGTATTATCATCTTGTGACTGGTGTGTCATTATATGTTGGATGGGACTTTGTGATGTGGTGAGTCGAAAATTTGGATTATGTGTGATGGCTAAATTTCGAAAATTTCGTGGGACTAGGGATAGTGGATGGTTATTTGGTAGGGGTGGTAATTGTGGTGCCGTTGGCGTTATGTCTACATTGTTATGTTCTTCGTCGTATGTATTTTGTCGTGTTGCTATTTTTGTGTTATATTCTTTTATTTGTGCGTCTAAAAGAATTTTGTTTATAGATGTAGAAAAGATTCCAAAAAATCCTGCAAAGAGTATGCGTGCTACGCTTGCTTGTCTGTTTACTTGTGTGTGTATAGCACATGTGTTGTAGATTCCTTTTAAAAGTGAGAAAAGAAATCCAATAAAGTTAAACATTGCGTATAAAATAGTCAATTTTTCTAAGATGTAGTAGGGCCATCCTAGAAAATCGAGGATCTCATTTTTGAGTGTAACAAAGCTAAAAATGTTAATTGGTGATATATCTTGGGGACGGTATTTTTCACC